ACAAAATGAAAAGGCAACCTACAGAATGGGAGAAAATATTTGCAAATCATATATCTCATAAGCAGTTAATATTTAAAATATATGAAGAACTAGACCTAACTGTGAGACCTGAAACCATGAATATCTTTGGGGTACTACTGTTGACTAAACTAAAGATGAGTCTCCTTTGGTCTGTGACAGTTTCTTAGTCTTTCCATGGTTTTCATTATCTTGACAGTTTTGAAGAGCTTTGTAGAATATCTCTTCATTTGGCTTTGATGTTTTTCCTCTTGATTAGACTGGGGTTGGGGTTTTGAGTGAAGAGAATCACACACGCGAAGGGCCCCTCTCATCCCTTCCTCTCTGGGTGCACAATCTCCATACCACCCCTCTGGTGGTGGTCACTTTCACCACCTGGTTAAGCTGGTGATCGCTAGGTCTCTCCTCTGTGAAGTTATGATTTTTTCCCCTTTCCAGACTCAGTTCGTTGGAATCAGAGTTCCTAAGTCCAGCCCACCCCACTCAGGCAGTGGGAATTAAGCTTTACCTTCTGGAGTGGGGAATGTCTACATGTAGATACGTTATATGGAATTCTTCTGTAAGGGACATTTGTCCTCCTTACTTACATCAGTTTGAACTCATGTATACTTATTTTGTACTTTGAGTTCTAATTCAAATTGCTGTATTATTTAATTTTGCATTATTATTTTGCACAAATTGTTCTAGCTTTGGCCATTGGGAGCTCTTTTGGGTTGACTCCTCTGTTTGACATGCTCATCTTTTAATTTTTCCGAGTATTGTCTCTTTGGCACTGTAAGATGCTCCAGGCTCATCGTGTCTTTTCTCTGCACTAGCCCTCCACTCAGCCGTTTCTCTGAGGAGCAGGTAAGGTCTTTTGATTCCAGGTGTGTGATTCTTTGCATGATTCACCCTTTTGACACGAAGGAAGGGAAACTCTATCGCATAAGTAAGATTAAATCATTTTTCTAATTTGAGTTGTTGGTTTTCTTCTCTTAATATTTTAGGTACCACTGTATTTCTTTACAGGTTTGAAATTTCACTCTATTTGTGTTAATTCACAAGAACAAAATGTTTTCACTAGGAAGTTAGCTGCTGACTGAATGTATCAGTTGGTCTCATGGAATAGAATATGCTCATCATAAGTACTTTTCAGGGGTGAGGTTTGGTATTGGCCAAAGAAACTATGAGAGTACTTTGTGCTTTCCATGAATGTTAACCCTTTAGCTTAGTTCATTGTCAAGATCTATGTAAATTAGCCTTAGAGTTTTGATTAGTAATAGAATGATGGTTCTTTTTATAACACTAATATCTTTTTAAGTTTTGCTCTTATAATTTTAGAATGCATGAAACATATAGCTTTGGTTTAAAATAGCTGTGATCAAAGAGAAGTGTTCAGCAGTTTGGGGTAGTGGAAATAGCATTTTCTTTGGAGTCAAGAGACATGCATTTTAATCTTGCCTCTATTTCTAACTTGCTAATAAGGGAAGTTCTTAGACTTCACAGATCTCAGTATTCTCATCTATAAAGAAGAGGATTGGCCAAGACCTTTAAAGTCACCCCCCCCACACCCCCCACACCCCTTTTTAACAGCTTTATTGGGGTTTTAAGGTCCTTTTTGGCAATTCTGTGCTTCTTTTTATACTAGAATTTAGCAAGCCTCTGTGTGTGTGTGTGTGTGTGTGTATGTATGTGTGTAAAATGCTGGGCTAGATCTAGTGTTACAGCTTAAATAGGCATTTGGTCTGGTTTATACCTGAAAGGGAATAGCATTCAGGAAATACTACAGTACTGGGAGGAAAATCTTAGAGAAGTAAAACCCTCCTTATTATTTCCTTTAAAATTATGGCCCTCGCACCCAGAATGTATAAGTTTCCTTTAACAAGCTCTTATTAGTAATAAAAGTTTGGACAGCTGCCATCTTGAAAGTTTGTAGTTCATCTTTTGTTAAGCAGACATGGCTTTCTCCATTCTTTGTTACACACACCCTCACTTTTTGAAGACTTGTTTTTAAATTGATAATGCAGGGAATTTCTCATCTTGTAAAGGAGAATTGGAGAAGATTATGTCTGTTTTAATTCTTTTTTTTTTTTTTTAAAGATTTTATTTATTTATTCATGAGAGACAGAGAGATAAGAGGCAGAGGGAGAAGCAGGCTCCCAAGGAGCAGGAAGCCTGATGCGGGACTCGATCCCAGGACCCTGGGATCATGACCTGAGCCGAAGGCAGACGCTTAACTATCTGAGCCACCCAGGCGCCCCTGTTTTAATTCTTTAATATCTGCCTTTATGGAGATGAAGAAGGGGGTGAATCTCCATTCCTTGAAATTGGGCTTCCTGACAAGTTTCCCAAGTTGGGAGCGGGAGAGAATGAGTACCACAGGAGTCACACGTGTGTCCGTGCTTTGGAAACAAAGCGATATCTTGTGCTGTTGCTTTGATTTGGTTTTAGCCACGGTATTTAATTTATATTGACTATAAATAAAGTCAAAGACACCATCCATTTTTTAAGTTTAAGAAAGCAGTGGGGTCACTCCAAATTCTAGATGGGATTGAGGAACACTGTGATACACAATAAATTCTGGGGAGAATTGCCCCACTGGACCCAGGATTTGAAGATCACATGGAGGGTTCAAGAAAAAAGGAATTCAGATGATATCCTTGATGCTTTATTAAAATATTGCAGGCACAGTATGCTATCCGGTATGCTCTGGCGTTGTATTACTGGAGGGTCATTGTACTACTTGTAGTACTGTGTTACAAATAGAGGGTTCTTTTTGTTTTTTTATTTTTTATTTTTTAAAGCTTTTATTTATTTATTTGACAGAGAGAGAGACAGCGAGAGAGGGAACACAAACAGGGGGAGTGGGAGAGGGAGAAGCAGGCT